AAAAATGTTGAAACAATTTTCCCATGTTATAGATGGGGAAACCAGGGCTCAAAGAGATTAAACCACTTGTTTCTACCATTATGGAAAAAATAGTATTTATTCCCCGATCTGTGTGGATCTAGATTCACCACTATAATAAAACTCAGGACCACATGGGAAACCTCATAGTCTCTGTTCTTCTCTCTTGATTCCTGTCAAAGGGCTCCACATAACTGAAAACAACTTGAGTGTTAGACATAACTTAAAAATGTAAAACAAGGGGCCAACTCAGTGGTGTAGTGGTTGGGTTCCGAAGCCCGGGGTTCATGGGTTCAGATCCATGGTGCAGGCCTGGCACTGCTCATTGAGCCATGCTGTGGTGGCATCCCACATAAAGTAGAGGAAGATTGGCACAGATGTTAGCTCACCAGCAATCTTCCTCAAGCAAAAAGAGGAAGATTGGCAACAGATGTTGGCTCAGGGCCAATCTTCCTCACGTCTTCCCCTTCCCCAAAAAAGAAAAAAAAAGCAAAACAAAATAAAACACTGTTTCTGATCTAATGACCAACAGGGGGCCTCAGTGTTAATATAAACTTGTAAATTCATTTCTTGAGGGCCACTTCCTCCCTGTCTGAACAAATAGCAATGAAACATAAAGTACTTAAAAATAAATAAATAAAAAGGCAAAGCCAAGCTAAAGAATAAGATAAATCCTTCCTTGCTATGAGAACGGAAAAAACTGCAAGATGATGACTTGGGCACCAGCTTTGTTGGTTCAATGCCTGGAAGAAAAGCAGAGCTTCCTCCTGGGTGTAGTAGAGAATAAATACACCCTCCCTGAGGGCAGAATACAGGATCCAGGGTCCCTTCTTAAAACCAGGGACTTAGGGAGAGCTTTCTGACTTGTGAAAGATGACTAAAACAAAGCTACACTCCCAAACACTGCCTACAACTATGGCTCATAGGAAGCTCGGGCCTAAGGAGCTGGGAAGACCTGGACCCAACCTCAAGAGAAAAATCACACGAGAAAAGCCAAACTACAAAATCAGCATGAAATTGCTGCACTTAATTCTAAAAAGGACTTTAAAATACCTATGTGTAAGATCCTCAGAGATAAATGGTGAAAAAAATCTATTAATAAATTGTCAATGAAAACTAAGCAGAAATAAAATAGGTACAGTGAAAATGTGAAAGCAGCAATTAGAAATGTTAAGAATGAAAAACATAGACAACAAAATACATAACTCAGTGGATAGAATACTCTAGCCTGACTTAGTAAGAAAGACACTAGTTCACTTGAACAGAGTGATGAGGAATTCCCAAAAATGCAACATATAGAGACAATTATACTAAAAAATAAAAATAAGAGATCTGAAGACTAACTCAAGAAGCTTCACCAGATAACACTAAGAGTTTCAGAAGAAACTCTTCTGAAAAAGAAAATAGCTAACAATTTTCCAGAAATGATGAAACCTTTCAGTCTTGTCTTTATGATTGAAAATTTACTCTTATTCAATAGGTTAAGTAAAAACAAATTCACTTCAAAGCTCATTGTAGTAAAACTCCAGAACACCAAGGAAAAGGGTAGAGGAATCTTTAAAAATTATCAGTTAAAAAGATTATCTACAAAGGAATGATATTTAGACCAACAGCAGACAACTCATCAGCAGCAATAGATGTAAGAAGACAGTAGATTAACTTTCTGAAAGTGCTGAGGGAAAATTGCAAGCACCCTGGTATAAAATTCTATACCCAGATAAAGTACCATTCAGTAATGAGGGTGGAAAACAATTCTAAATTGCATTGATTGTATGACTTGTCCAGATAGTTATACAGAAACTGATGATTCAATAGCTAAAGAATGTCTGATCAAATAAGAGATGGGAGAACTCCATGTGCAGGCCAAGGAGGAAAACCAAGATGTTCCAGTAAGCAAGGCTCACCATATGATCTGTGTCCTCCTTCTACAAATAGCCTTTTTTCATGCAGCACACGGGTGACTTTCAAGTGACACTCTTACCTAGGATGCTCACTGCAAAGAGGACCAGACCAGGTTCTCCAGAATAAGGGTGATTTTATTTTTTTTTGAGGAAGATTGGCTCAGAGCTAACATCCACTGCCAATCTTCCTCTTTTTGCTTGAGGAAGATTATCACTGAGCTAACATCTGTGCCAGTCATCTTCCATTTTATGTGGGATGCCACCTCAGCATGTTTTGACCAGCAGTGCTATGTTCACGCCTGGGATCCAAACCTGTGAACCCCAGGCTGCCGAAGTGGAGTATGCGAACTTAACCACTACACCACTGGGCCAGCCCCAGAAGGGTGATTTTGAACCAAGTGGCCACCTCAAACTTGCGAACATGGCTGTGATTGTTGACATGTGAGCAGTCATGCTCAGGTGAAACTGTGGAGGAAAGAGCCACACCACAAGTCCAAAGACCTTCTCAACTTCCCTCCTCCTCCCAAAGGCACTTGAAGTTCTTGGCTGGAACTCATCAGAGTGGGCACAGAATGTTCTCTAACTCGACCTCATCTTGCAAAGTAAGACCTCTGCTTCTGGCCATGAATAACTGGTACCAGACTTGCCCCTCTACTGTCTTCAACCAGAAAACTGGATAATGGGTAGCACAGGCTACCCATTCTCTCAGAGAAGAGAAACTAATGAAGTGAGCCCTATGATCACTTGGACTTGATGCCCAGAGGCACTTTCCAGACCCTAGCACAGGAGGAGACACTAAGCAGAGCACAGTTATCTTGTTGAGTTGAGGAGCAAAGATTGGAGTTCAGCAGGTGGAGGCCACCAGCCTTTAAAGAACAGAGTGCTGGAAAGAAGGGAGCTATGAAGAAAAACAGCTCCAGAAATCTGTACAGAGGTTCTCTAGAGTCTTTGCTTGAATACTATGTACACACGCAGATGTAAGACTCCAAGATCAGGCAAAGAACAACTATGGGGTGTTGGAAGTGGAACCATTCCCAAAGCTGACATAGAGATGGGAGATATTGATATTCCAACCAACCAGAGTGCAGAGGCCTCATTGAACAGCCCAAGGAAGTACTGGACTTTAGTAGTAGGGCTAAACCAGCCTTAGAGTTAAGGTTGCTAGACCTGTCCTAACAAAGATACAGACCTGAACTACCTAATAAGGTAGCCACTAGCCACATATGACTACTGATCTTTGAAATGTGGCCAGTTCAAACTGAGATGTGCTTGTAAGTATAACTAAAATACAAACCAGATTTTGAACATTAGTATGAAAAAAAGAATGTAAACTATCACACTAATAGTTTTTACATTGATTACATGTTGAAGTAACAATCCTTGGGGAATAATGGGTTAATAAATTATTATTATTAAAATTAAATTTTTAAAGAGAGCTAGTCCAGTGTGGTCACCAAGTAGCCAGGATGGAAAGTAGGTAGGAAAGAATAATTTCAAAATCCCCATTTAGCTTTCTTATCAATAAAACCTACCCTTTAAAATATTAACTTTCTTATCCACATTCCAGTGCCTGACATATAATCTTGTCATAATAAATCCTCACATAATAAATAATCCTGCGTTGTTTGGGAGGCATATTCTTGGCAGTAACATTCTCCAGAGGGAATTATTTAACTACTAAAAAGGATTTAAAAAGGAATTACCTTCTGAGAGACCAAAGAAAGCATTAAAGATTCATACACAGGTTACATTTAGTAGAGAAAAGGGAAACAATAACAAAAAGCAAGCTCCCATCAAAAAAGAGAGAACCAGAAATACGAAAAAACATTATTTTAATTAAATATGTTTACCTATATTTTGTATTTCCAAACAAGGGAAAAAAAAATCTTCCGTCAATGGAAGCTGTTTACGTAGTTCTAAATATTTGCTTCAGTTAGTAACTATCTCCAGTTTACATCTATATAAGCATAAATAGTAGTTATTAAAATTCACATTTCATACAAAGTTTACAAGTGTTTAAATGGAGAATGAGGATGTGGTAGTGAGGAGAGGGGCTTGTTTGTTTAGGAACCTGCAGGAAATAACAGGACCAATTCCTAAAACCTGACAGTGATTTCACCTTTGCTGTGTATAAGCTGCATTTGTAGAAGAAAGAACACATGGGAGGTCATTGAACATTTTGCAGGGAACACAGCAAAATAAGAATCCACATCATCAGCTTTAACGGTAGACATTGGTTCATAATATGCCACAAAGCTACTGTCTGTAAGAGCAGCAAGTCCTTAAACCGGGCTAAAAGTTTCTAAGGCCAGCACTGGCCTTTAGTGGATCATGAAGCATTTCTTTGGTAACACTTCTAGATTTGGGGAGGTATAGGCTATCAAGATGCACCTCAAGGAGAAAATGGAGAGTGGTAACCCCCTACTAATACTTTCCTGATCCAAATGTTTTGACACTTGAGAAAGAAGTAGATTACTTTGATCCAGTAAAACGGCATACAAATATAAAATGCTCAAGTATTGTAATTTATGATGTGGATTAAGCCTGGCCCAGCTAGAGAAGCCCAAGGTGACCTGGCCTACATGCCAAACTATACGACCCAGTGGACTTTTTTATGGTATGAATTAGGACCGTCCCAGGGAGAGAAGCCCAGGGCATCCTCACCTACATGCCGATCTATATGGCCAGATTCGTATCTAAAGTTATATGACCACACAATAACCAGACCCCATCTGCACTGAAATCATTTAATGACTTTTTACATCATCTTTTCTTTTCTCCAGTAAAAATAAGTCACGTACCCATGCCTTATAAAATTAGCCCTAACCCTCAACTCAGGGCAGCAGCAGGAGCTCTGACTGCCCGTGGGTCCTGTCCCCACGCACCAGCTCTGCCTGCCCATGGGTCCTGTCCCCATGCCAGCGGGGGCAGCAGCAGCTGCTCTGCCTGCCCATGGGCCCTGTCCCCATGCCAGCGGGGGCAGCAGAAGCGGCGGCAGCAGAAGCTCTGACTGTCCATGGGTCCTGTCCCCATGCTATTCCACACTATTCTCTAAATAAAAGAGCACTACTGCCAGATCTTGAGAGTCTAAGAAATCTTTCTTTCGACTCCTCGGCTCACCGACCCTGCATCAATTTAGTCGGCATTTTCTGTGTGAATTCAAAATTGAAATATTTTACAATGAAATGCCAATAATCTAGGAAAAGATCTTTGAGGTAGAACCTTTTAAATTCTGCATTCAGATGTATACATGAGCTTTTGTTAATATGCTCCTCTCAGAGTTGCAAACAAAGTTTACAAATATGGTAAAACCTCTAGAATCTTCAGGGAGTTGGGGAGGTAATTTGCAGACAAAGTAGTCTTTCTAGTGATTGTGACATTGTAACAAAAGGTTACAGTTTCTACTGACTCTTGGAATGCAGTCAACCTGTGGATAGACATTTGTATTCAAATACACTAATTATATTCCTAGCTACAGAGCATGATCCCAACCTTTTGTCCTTTAAATACACTCTTATCTGTGTACTTAACATGCCAGTGCATTTACTCTTAACCATTTCCATCTTCCCAACAAGATTATTTAAACATCCTTGAAGGCAGAGTCACACACAAGATCTTGAAACCTGTAAATATATTAGCTCTACAAACCTAAGAAATGAAAAAAGAAAACACACCTAGTAAAAAGCCAAGCAGTATTTACAGCTTACAGCTATTAAAAACTTACTCAAATACTACTTTTTCTTGTCTATACTCAGAAGTGAGTGAGTTGTTTTTCCCTTTAGACCAAGTTGTGTGTTTCATTTTCATTATTGAAGTTTGCATTTTCATTTTCACTAGCATTGTCCTTCTGGATTATATTTTGAATTTTCTCTGCCAGAACACAAAGATTGATTTTTTTGAGGCTTTTAATCAAAGTGTCATATGCACCTTTCTTCCCATGACGTTGATACCAACAACGGAGCAACTGGACTTTCTTCTCAGCAGTGTTGTTGGGATTGTCATTCTCAATCTCATCAATTTTGGCTTCTTCGATACCATTCTTCCGAGCAAATTCTTTAACTTGATTCAGTTCCATTTGTTCAGCAATACTACTAATATATTTACTCAAGTCAATGTCTGAAAAATAGACAATAGTCTATGAAACTTTGTTTTTCTAAACGAAATTCCTATTACTAAAAACCATGACTATTTCTCCTTTTACAGTACCTAAGAATACAGCTAAGTCCTAAAGATCTCAAGAGCTGATGGGGAAAAACAAAAATAGAAGCAAACTTGAGTTCTAATCCCAACTCCTCTGATGTTCCCAGGAATTTACTCTATGACCTAAACATACATAACACCTCTGTATCATCTTTTCTCATCTATAAAATAAGAGGGTTGGAAAAGATCACCTCTAACATCCCTTACGGATCTGAGGATCAATGACCCACAAACTTAAAAGGCAGGCAAAAAAATTATGAGCGTCTTATCTCTGAATGACAGGTCAAAGAACAGAACTGGGTAGAATCGTGGATGCTGTTACAGAGCAAGGATACACCAATAATAACTGAGTCTACAAGTCAGATCCACCTCTAAGTCAATTCAGGCAGGAGTTCTATAATACACCTAACTGCTGGTGAAGGAAAACTTTCTTAAGCCTCAGAATGTAGTGTCTCATTGCTACCTGATTGATTGATTGATTGATTGATTTTTCTTGAGGAAGATTAGCTTTGAACTAATATCCGCACCAATCCTCCTCTTTTTGGTGAGGAAGATTGGCCCTGAGCTACCATCCATGCCCATCTTCCTCTACTCTATAGGTGGGATGCCTACCACAGCATGGCTTGATAAGTGGTGCACAGGTTTGCACCCTGGGATCTGATCCAGTGAACCCTGGGCCACTGAAGCAGAGCATGCAAACCTAACCACTATGCCACCAGGACAGCCCCACCTCATTTATTTTTAACTAAGAGTATTAATTATAAATTTAAACAAACTGCCTGATAAACCTTGATACTAAGTAGGAAGAAGTGTAAACTCAAGGAAGAACAAGACCCCACCATATGTCACTGGAATTAGCAACATTATCGTGGCTAAAGTTGGCCTGTTACTCCTAAGGAAGCCATCTCTAGGAAATAAAATGATAAAAGCTTTACCTGGGAGATTCCTTTGCTCCATTTCCTGGGAAGAAAAAAAAAGGAGGGTAGGAGAGAGATAAATAAAAATATATTTAGAATATTCTAAATGTAATCTTCGAATTCTTCCTTAATACTGAAGGGAGTACAATCAGTTGCGTGATGTATAAAATTAGCTAGACTAAGTGATTAAGAAGAATTCTTTTACCATTCAAATTTTCATTCTGCAAGGTTCCAGTCTTGTCAGAAACTAAGGAATATTGACTTATTTTTTTATATAGACAAGGAACCTAAGGAATTCATGGAATACGCCCAGATTATTTTTCACATAGACTCATGAAAATAAACATAATCATTCTAACATTTTCTTTACAGGAACTATTCTTACTTTTGACACGAGAACATGGTTTAAGTTGAAATTAGTTTGTACCATGCTGATTTGAAGAGCTCTAACTCCCAATGAGCCCCCACCCCAAATGAGAAAATTGTTATTCATCAAGTGGACTGGTTTTTCTTCCCAGTGTATCTTTTGCTTTTTGAAATTCTTTGATCCCATGTTGGAAAAAGATAATGATGAGAGATAAGGCAACAAGTGGCCAGAGAGAGCTGAGCTGTGCCTTTATAATGGGCTTTAAGAGCCATCTCTGTGCCTGAGGTTGGATACTGAATCCATGCTCTGGTGAAGGATATCTCTCCACAGTTTCAGTGCAGGGATAACACTAACGTGGAACATGGAAGCTTGGCCACATCCTTTTCCCTTTTTTTTGGCTGAGGAAGATTCGCCCTGAGCTAACACCCACTGCCAATCTTCCTCTTTTTGTATGTGAGCTGCCACCACAGCATGGCCACTCACAGATGAGTGGTGTAGGTCCACACCCCGGAACGGAATCCAGGCCGCTGATGCAGAACACAGTGAACTTAGCCACTAGGCCACCAGAGCTGGCCCCACATTCTTTTTTTCAGCTCACATTGAGCACACTCTCACTTACACCCTTTGTTAATTCTTATGTTATCTGTGTAGAAGCTTACTTACAAACTGGGCACCATATCTTATTTCATTTTTTATGTCCCTCTAATCCATGCACACACAAACACAATAAATGTTTAAAATAAAGTAACAAATAAAAAGATGAATTACTACTTTCTGTGTTTTTTTAAGAAAGCTGATGCACATTTCAACACCTACAGTATTTGAGTCTCCACATACACGGTAATCATCCTCTTCATTCCTGCACCTTCTTTTCAACCCTGAAAGTCAAAGAAATTTCTATCAGACTCAAGTCTCAGCCTTGTAGGAAGCATGTGAGAACATACTGTCACACTAAGAGAAGTGTGAGAAGAAAGAAGGAGAAATTCATTGAAACTTAAAGTGACCAAACACCACAAAGACAGCATTGTCCTGATTCTGGACAATCCAACCTGACCAGGTCAAGTGTTCTAGAGATATGCCACATCTTAATTGGGCCATCCAATTACCACACACGGGCTTAGCCTGAAGCTGGATTCTGATTTACCATATCACCATCACCACTCCCCCTCACCAGCTTGGACTCGGGTAGCATGGCTACAGCAGGGCACAGAAGCATAGGATATGGAAAGGTGACATCAAGTTGCCATGGAGTGGCATTCAATGCCCAGAAATCCAAGTACACACACTCACAAATAACTCAAGTATACACACTCAGTGAGTGTATGCCTTGAAGCCAGTATGAGATGGAAGAAAAGAATCTGTAAGTCTCTAAGTGTTTAAATATTCAGTATATATTTTTAGCTAAACAACTTCTAAAGGCAAGGCAATGTCTTTATCTTCAGCTGAACTGGAGAAACAATGAGTTGGTCCAGAAACAAGGAAAAATTGGATGCTTCAGAGTATTGAAAGTTGGTACCACTCTATGTTTTATGAACGAGTTAAAGGGATTTTTCTAGAGTAATTATGACTATACCAATTTTGGCTTACCTGCTGAATTTATTAAGTATCTCTTACATAAAATATATTGCCACAGTATTTTAAGTTAAGGGGGAGAAATAATTAAAAAATAGGAAGTTTGGACGAGGGAGAGGAGGCACAGAGAGGGAGGAATTTAGCAAGTGTTCCCTGCAATGCCTTTCCTGGGGAGGCCCTTGTTTCTCATGTTCTCTTTATGCACGCGGCAATCTCGAAGCGAAGGATCACTTCTGATTCCTGGCCAACTCAGCTGCTGCCTGGATGAGAACACCCTTGTTCACAGGGAGGATAGGAAGACCCACTCAGTGCCCCCAAACGGTTGCTCAAAAACAGCAGCTGAGGAATAATATCATCTGTTCTTATCAGCTCTCAGGAGTACATGTAGTGGCAAGAATTTAACAGTTTCACAGAGTTCCATGCCTGGTAGGAGCTTTCTTAGAGGTAGAAGATAGAGGGGAATTCTTGTGAACAACTACTTCCCAAGTTATTTCAACCTGCAGTTTGAACAAAGTAAGAACTTACCGTAACGTTTTAGTAAAAATACTGCAATCAGTAACAGGAACAGGAGGCAAAACAACCAGTATAAGTTAGATCCGGATCCTGTAGATTAGAATATTGGACATTGCATATGAAAATAAGCAAGCTTTAAGATTAAACAAAGTAGTAGCAAAGAATCAAAAGAGAGTGGCTTTTTTCCCCCTATTTTACAGTGGGGATGGGAGAAAGGAGAATATAATCATAAAAAGAAATAATAACCTTCTCTGCATTTAGCGTCGTTAGTTGGTGTGCAATTCTCAATGATCCCATGTTTGCACCTGGAAAAAAGACAGAGGAAATTCAAAAAGCCTGGTGGACTGATTCCTTGATCATTTTCAATGATACACTACAAATCCAGAGCCACTTTACTCATCTTTGCATCTCTTGCAAACATATTCCCTCAAATATTTCTAGATTAGCACCTAAAGTTGGTACAAATTCATAACATAATTTGGATGTTTGGATGAAAAATATCCTAAAGAATAACTACGTTTTAAAATATCAAGAGTTAAAGGAAGGTAATAAAATATGGACATACAGGAAAAAGGAAATAGACACAAAAATAATCTTAAAATTGATAATAAACTGTGCTGTTCAAATCATAAAGTGCCTAAAGCAATTTCAAAACAGTCCTATAGAAAAATGAAATGGCCAGACAATGGCCACTGCCCATGATGCTGCTTAGGGAACCACTCAGCTGGCCCTAGAGGTTTCTCCTTTTAGCATCAAGTACTGATTAGGATGCTCAAGAGGCTCCTGTAGGATTTTCTTCGGACAGCCCAACATTGACAGATTGTCTGAATTATAGCCTGGTTCTGCCCATCACCTAACTAGGTGAGCCTGGCAAGTCACTTAACCACTATGAGCCTGTTTTCTCATCAATAACCAAGAGACAATATTAACCACCTCAAAGCATTCTGTTGAGAATAAAATTAAATTGAGATCAGGAAGCGTTTAGAACTCCTGTTATTATTTGATTAAGTTAGTTCCTCCTCCCTAGTCCCTACTTATCCTGTCATCATGAGGGCACTCTCAGACGTTTGGGGCTAGAAGAGAGAGGCCAGGTTAACTGCACATCATTGAAAATTTTTTAGTAAATAAGAGACATAAAGCATCACGTCCAGACTTTTCAAGTCTACCAGGTTGAATTCCTGAAAGTTTCCCCAGATCAATTACAAGTTTAAGGAGAAGCACATGAATATAATCCTAATGGTTTATATTTATACAAAACAATATCTTACAAAGCAAAAGCTATTTTTACAACAGTATTATTTAGTCTGATCTTCACAGAAATGAGGCCAATAGGACAAGTGAATACTATTTGCATCCTATGAGTGAGGAAACTGAAGCTCAGAGAGGTTAAGTGATCTGCTCAAACTCACGCAGTTAATCAGCAGAAAAGTGAGCTACATAATCAGGTTTTCTAATTTGGGGTCAAAACCAAGCTCTTTAGTATGAAAGACAAGGCCCTTCACGATTTGGCCCTGCCTCCTTCTCAGTCTTTCCTACACTCTGGTCAGGTACCCTGTTCTCCGGAGCTTCCTCAGTCTCTTTGCATGTGTTCTTCCCTGCCTGAAACGTCCTTTCCATCCAGGTACACCTGGGAATTCTTTCTTTCCTTCCTTCAAGACTCAAGCCATGTGTCATATCTTTACCACTTCTCCCCAGGCAGAGTTGAAAGGTTCTCTTGTATAACTTGTAACAACTTGAGCACAACTCTCTTCTAATGCTTGCCACATGGTGTTGACACAATAACCATTGCTTTTCTTGACTCTCTCTGCCTCCAGCCTGAGAGCTTTGATGCCAGGAATGTGTTGCTCATATTGTTGGCTTAAGCAGCCAGCACAGTGTCAAGCACACAGGAGGTGTTCAATAAATGTTTGGAGACTGGATGTTTGAATGAGCAAATGGTTACCTAGTTGTTTGAAGGCAAAGCAACACTAGAACCCAAATTATTGACTCAGCACTTGTTGCTACCTCTAGGAAGACATTCTCTCTATATATATATCTAGTGTTTTAATCAGAAAACAAACTAAAACTTACGTAATGCAAGGGTCACAGTGTTCACATGGAGGAACACTACAAAAAAAGTTTGATTTACATCTGCACTTGGTATCCTGGGTCGTGGTGCAATTTTTTTCCACTTCTAGACCTAGAAAACCAATTTGCAGACTATTAATAGGGACAAGAAAAGCTATGTCCAGAGATTTCTGATGTCAAACAAAACTGGGAGTACTTCTGTTATATTTTAATCTGGGCCCTCAGAATAGATTGGGATATATCATGAAAATTCAGGGTCCCAGTTGGAATTATCAAGACAAATCAGATCTCCAAAGAATGGGGAGCATCCCACCCAACTCTCGGATTCCTCTGTCCTTGTATCTGAAGGCTTCTGAGATCCTTCTGGCCACGAACAAGAGCCATTACAGAGCATAAATCAAGGCAGGAAAAAAAAAGTTTCTGCAGTTTTGGCTGGAGCTGGTGAACTCTGTTCACAGGCCTCGTATTTAGTCATTCTCTTACATCTGGGAGAATTGTCTAGACTTAACCCATAAATGTCTAGACCCGTGATTAGCTCAGTATCTGGTCCTGTTTCACTGCAGCCAGCCCCATCCTGTCCCTTCCTCTATAACAACATAGCACCAGAGTTGGTCCCAACTTCAAACTGCATTATAAATGCTTCTACATGGAGTACCACGATTGATGCCTTTCAATTGCTTTTTAAGACACTTACCCAGTTCTTCATCACAAATTTTACATCTTCGGCATTTAGAACTACGATGTGGCTTGTCTGTGTAGTCCTTCCCTTCTGAGCAAGGCACACAGTCTGTTATGTTCCTCTTGGCTGTGCAATTGAAACCAGTGGACAGTTTGCCATTAATGATTCGGTAGCTAGTAACTAAAGTTTTTTTGTGATTATTAATTGTAGTCTTTAGTTGTTCACCTACTCATTGTTAGCTGTCCTGCTTATTTTTAAAAGTCATGTAGATAGGCAATATGTTATCTTACTTCCATTAGGTTCCTCATAGATAACATCTCCCTGATGCTTGGGTCCCCCTGGTAGTGGATGCCTGAGCTGTTTTTCAGGAACTAAGAGTTGACCCCTGTCTGGTTCAGGCTGGTTGAGACTACCAACCCACCACCTGGGCCCGTGCAAGTGTCCGATAGGCGACCTCCTGATACCAGAGAGCCAAAAACTCCACCCTCAGATCATGTTAATGCCACCATTTTGAGAACATGTGTCCTATGAAGAGCCATGAAGCTTGACTACACTTGCACAGATTGTCAACAACATCACCTCTCCTCACCTCCAATCATCTATGCCCACACTTCAGACCACCCTGCCCCTCTACCCCATAAATAGCCCTAGTTCCCATTTCTCAGGGAGGAGGATTTGAGATTTGTACTCCTCTCTCTCTTGGTTGCCTTGTGAATAAACACTTTTTCTGCTGCAAACTTGTCGTCTTGGTGATTGGCATTTCACGCCATGGGCAAAACGTACCTGGTTCGGCATCACAATCAGTAGCTCTCCTCGTGCCTGCCCAAGAAAAAAACGGGGCAAGTGTTTGAATGCAAAGTGGTCATGCAACATCAAGGGGAGTATGCAGGGATAACAATAAGACACTGCTAAAACGGGGGAGTTTTAATGATATATAAATACAACAAGGGAGAAGGTTATTGTAAAAATCATGTGAAGAGACAGAAAGTCTCCCAAGACAAAAGTTAAAAGAGTAACTGAAGGAATATGCCTACAGAAATAGGATGATTAACAAGAGGAGCATATTTAAAAACAGAGGTTGGAATGACCAAATGCACTGGAAGAAATGCCTTTCCCAACTTTTTGGGGAGACAGAAGAGGTTGGTAGGTATATATTCATGGTAGAGATGGCTGTCACTGGCCACTGAGATTATCTAAAGAATTCACCTTGCTCTGGTTTCTCATTTCACTTTCCAAAGTCCACAAATCCTGATAAGAGATAGTATAGTGTAAGGGAAAGAACATTTAAAGTTCTAAAGGCCTTGGTCACATCCTTAGGAGCCACAAGATCTTTAACAAAGTGCTCAGTCTCTCTAAGCATTAATTTCTTCATGTATATGATGGAGATAACGACACTTCTGCGCTGCTATCAGAACTGCGTAGGACCTGCTTCATGAGTGCTCACAGTTCTCTTTTCTCTCCTCTTTCTTTCTATTCCTTTGCCATTAAGGGACAGAGTACATTTTGATGGGCAGGCATGAACACATTTATAACAAAGTTTATTATCAGGTTTGTTATCTTACTACACACAATTTTAAATAATGTTCACATTTGCTTTAATTTACTTTAAAACTAAAATGAGTCATTGTCTTGCTATTAGTAAGCATTATACAACTACACCTTCTTCTGGAAAATTCATTTATTTAACGTGTTTATTAAATGCCTATTGTGTGCTAGGCACTTTCTAGGAGCTGGAGACACTGCAGAGGATGAGACAAAGCCTTGGTCTCCAAGGACTTCATGCTCTCAGGGTAGAGCAGGCAAGGCACAAATAAATATATGGTGTCAAGTGGTGCTAAGTGCTACGGTGAAACCTGGCTTAGGGCAAGGGGATAGAAAATGAAGAAAGAGACAGAAAATATAAAGGGAAATCTAAGAGAAAAGCATGACTAGTGACTCTAATTATTAATGACATAACTCATTAAAAAGAATAGGCAAAGTCTAACCTGCCACTCACATGTACAGCAAAAATAATTTACACTGTCTTTCCTAGGAATGTGACTTTCCTAATAACCTCAAAGCATTCTTTCTAAAAAATAAACTACTTATTCTATAAACAAATTCTGAAACGTAAACACATGATATTTTAGTAAACAAAGACAATACTTTTTCAATAGAAAAAAATAAATTGTGGAAACCCAGAATCAAATTCAAATACAGTGCATCAGGGCTACAGAATATTGTAGCAATATGTTTAAGAAAACTAAGCCAAAATATAATTTTCTTTGCTTGCCAGTGGTATTATACTGGTTTCTAAATGCACTGACTTCTTTTACGAATTACCTTGCAGAATGTGCCTAGCACAATGCCTATGACATGAGAGGGATACAATAAATCACAGGTTTTCTCTTCCTCCAACGAATACAACCTAAATTTATCAAAATATAAAAAAGGAGTGGTTGTTTTCTTGAAAATAAGATTTTAAAATACATTTGTATCTGAGTACAATAGTACATATGCTCCTTGTAGAAAATTTGGAAAAGTTAGGACAGTATAAAAAGCACTATACATCAAGTACAGAAATTCACTGCTGTCATTTTGGTGCATTCCTACGCATGTAAAGACACACACATGTCACTATATGTATGTGTAATATGTGTGGGTGTGCATTTATATATATAAATATACATATATATAATGTATGTAGTGTACGGCAGAATCCTTCTTATTTGATATGGTGATGTCATGAGGACTGCTTTGATCAGTTAATCAACAAGTCAGTTCATATAGGGAATCACTGAAAAAATACTATAAATATTTTAACTTATAATGTATAATCATATAATTATTTGTCAGTCTTGTGATGTAGAAACAAGTTATTGGAATTCCAGGTTCTTTCTCACTTAAGTCACAACCAAAATACATCACCTATGACTTCCTGGTTTTCTTTCACTCTCTTCCTTTCTTTCTTTCCTCCTCCCTTCCCTCCTTCTTTCCTTTCTTCCTTCTTTTTGACAGAAAGAAAACTTAAAAATACCAATAATCCATATGAAAGGCTTTCAAGATTTTTGTGATTTTTCCATTTATTTTGCCCTCACCTAATTCATCAATAATTTTTTAGCAACTCGGCATTATACAGAAAATCTCCAAAACATTGAAACTAGTTTTCACAGAAATAAAATCTGCCTTGTCTCCATATTCATGTATCATTGATTTATATAATATTTACTTAAATTACACATTACTATCACAACAGCAATGAGCATAAACAGATTTGGAAGCAATTTGAATATTGATAGGCCTAAAATTCAAAAAGAAAAAATAGAAGTGGAAAGAGCATTCAGCACGTGTTGGACACCATCCAACATATTTTAGGGAGGGAGCGGAGAGAATCAGTTAATCCAGCCAGCATATCAGTTAGAAATTTCTTAAGGGAATTTACACACATTGAGGTTTCTATCAGAAACATATCAGAAAACATGACTGGATTGATACATAATATCCCATCCAGCCTTTGAATACTTCAAAATTTACTTAATCAATCCTACATCATTGGGTATCATATTGAACTATCATGCGTACAATATGCCCCTTTATTTGTGGCTATTTGAAGATTTTTTCCTACAAATCTATTACTGTATCAGTAGGTACAAGTATTTTCAAGCTTTTTAAATTTTATTTTATTTTGAGGAAGATTGCTGCCAATCCTCCTCTTCCTGCTGAGGAAGCCTGGCCCCAAGCCAACATCTGCACCCACCTTCCTCCACCTTATATGTGGGATGCCTACCACAGCATGGTGTGCCAAGCGGTGCCATGTCTGCACCTGGGATCCGAACCGGCGAACCCCGGGCTGCTGAAGTGGAACGTGCGCACCCAACCCACTGCACCACCAGGCCGGCCCCTGTATTTTCAAGTTTTTGACCCACACAACCAAATTTCTTTCTTAAAAGGTTATAACAATTTACAGTCCAACAGTGGTATACGACGTGAGTTCTTATCTCACAAACTAGCTCACCAGAGCTGAGATTGCTTCTTAAATGAAAATAAAACAAAGCAAAACAAAAAAGCAAACAGACAAAAATGCTTGACAGTTTGATATGCAAAGCATATCACCTCTGTTGTAATTTGCACTTCAGGTTCTAAAAATATTAGCAAAGATCTTAAATACATGGTGTTTGGCAAGTTATAAAAAAGCCAGGAAACTATCCTTTATTCCTATTTAGAGAAGAGTAAATATAAATAGGCTTAAGTATAAATGGGTTGTATTATAAGGGAGATTTTCTGTAAGGGTTATTAAAACCCAGACAGGAGGCCAAGAGAGTGTGGTAGAATCTTTTATAAATAGGACTCATGCCTGTTTAGCAGCTTGAGTGCTAGCAGCCTGGGAGGCCAACTACGAAACCTACTAGCAGAGTCCTTTATGCTAGTTTATTTATCGCATAAACTCATCTATTGTTTTCCTTTATCTTCCTGTCTTACTTCACAATGCAGCTGAAAGAGATTCCTATCTGTACAAGACAGTAGTCTACTCTTCTCGTGTCAAAAAAAAAAGTTTGCACCGTTGCATTTTGCTTAGCTTCTAATTTGCCAGCGTTTGAAGGATTTCTGATCTGAAACTGGTTTGCATTTCAAAATACTGATTTTAAAAAATTGCTGGTTTTTGTCTGTTGCTTTTCTAGCTCATCTAGTTATTCAGCTACAAAATGTAAATGTATTTTGCAGGCTTCAGTGCCAGGACAAACAGCTTGCTGAGAGACCTTCTGGTTGAAGGCAAGTGCTGAAACACCTCTCTTAAGAGTGGAAGTCTCTTGCTTTCAGAGCTCCACAATTATTATGATACATTCTAATCAGTTCTGATGTGATAAGCTTTAACATCTACAAATGAGTCTTCCTTTGCTACTGAAAAATGGAGCTAAATAGACAAATCCTCTCATTTCAGAGGCACATGTCATTTGGAAATTATATTTATTCATACCCACACCAAATAAGTGTGATAAAGATGAATTGAACTGGTTTGGGGAAAATAATTTCACAGTTTTCTTCCCAAGAATGCTATAATACAGAAGAACCAAATGCTGTAAAAATACTTTCTTCATTATTACTATATGCTTCTCCTCACCCTGATTTTCATTCTAAGCACCGAATGTTTAGTGTAACATACCAGGAGGACATGACTGACAGCAGGCCTCACCATGCTGGCCCTCCTGGCACTCAGATTTCTTCCCATTAACATTTTCACTCAATTTCAATGCCTCAGAGTCGATAGCAGTCACTTGGGCTGTATCACCTTTCGACAATGGTCCAGCAATAGAGGTGAGCATCTGTAAAAGAAAAGCAGGAAGAGCATTTTTATTAACTTCTGAACTAAGCAACTTGGTAAACAAGAGTAAACTGCCCAAAATGGCTGTATTTGCCGTGCACAGGCAAAATCAACGTGCAGCTCCATCTTCCTGCTGACTCATCTCCGAAAAAGGAGATCAAGTGCATGACAGCCTAGACCTCAGGGTCCCCAAACTACCCCAGAAACAGCATCACGGATGGTAGGAGCCAGGGCTCTGAGGTCAAAAGGTGAACACACTCCCACTTACAGCCCTGTGACTGTGAGTAAAGTCACTTAAATTCTTGGATTGTCCGTTTCTTTATCTACAAAGTGGAAATAATCTCTTCTTCATAGGTTTGTTGTGATAATTAAATGGAATAATGCACCTACGGCTCTTAGCACAATTCCTGGCACATAATAAATAGGTGCCCAGTAAGCAGTATTGTTATTCATTATTATTATTGTAATTATCATAAAGTTTCAGTGAGGGGCAACATCGGGGAGTGGTAAAAAACATGAAATTTCAAAATGACTGCAGTTCGAATGCCATCTCTGCTACCAACACTGTGATAAGTTACATAACCTCACTGGTCTTCAATTTCCTGATCTGCAAATGACAATAGTACTTTCTGTCTTAAAGGGTTATTGTGGGGATAAAACGTGGTAATTTCTCTCAACCTGGTACTTAGCTCATAGCACATTCTATTTCTTCCCTTTTTAGACACAGCCACAGAATCAACAGTTTTGATCTGATTCTTCCTCGTTATCCAACCATATGATAAATATAAATCAAACAGGATTTACTTCACCTTTCTTCAGGAAAAATGAACTTCTCTTATTAGAGAACAAACCTTTAACCTATTTTTGGTTGCTTTTTTCTGCCATAAGTCTAATTGACATTGTGTCAAATTTATCTTAGTCAGTTATAGACTACAGTTCCTTAGAAAAATGAGCCCACAAAAATGTATAGAAGCATTTGGGGGTAGTCTCTGGTTGATTCCTTTCTCTGGTTTCCTAAGTATTTATTTTTTGTCTCTCTCTAAACATAAATTAAAATAATCTCTCATCTTATATGGAATATGTAAATTCTATTGCAAGCATCAAAAAATTGTAAACTTAGTTCTGAGGATTTTTTCCTAAAGGTCATTTTTCATAGTTTTCATGGTATACATTATTTTTCTTTCTGCCTTATAGTATAGTAATAATACTGGTATCTTCTGAGTCAAGAGAACTAAATATTCTACACTTATAATCATGGCCACAGGAGTCCCCATCTCTTCTCTTCTGCCTTTCCCTCTTTGTCACCAAAGCCTATATCCCCTTCAGGTCACAGGATACCATGGGATCTCCAAGGAAGGAGGCATGAAGGAGATGTGCTTGCCCACGTTTCCTGCTAGAATGGATGTATTTAAAAACGCATTTCTAACATCCAGACTTCCAAGAGGGAAAATGATACTAAAATATCAAGAAAATATAACTTGTCCAGGGTTACTTGCTAGCAAAAGGTAGAACTAGGACTTATCTAAGTTTCCTGACTTCTACTATGGTGTTCTTTCCCCTGCACCCAAGAAACAGGTGAACTTATAGAACATAGCTTACTTTCTGTACATGAACAGTTCCATGTAGGGAACAACTGGAACTGGTAAACAGATCAGAGGAATTATGCCTAGATATGCTGGCTTCACTATCAAACCACGGCCTCTTCAGTCCAACAGACATTTCTTGAGCACCTACTAAGTGCCAGGTTCTGAGAATACAAAGATGAGTAACAGTGATTGTAATTGAAAATGAACATTAAGTTTCCAAAAGCAGATTTGCACATGGGCATGTTATTTGTAATACATTAATAATTTGGGGGATGTTTTACCACTTTATATTTGCATGACTCTTACTTGTTAAAACACATTTGAATCTATGATTTTTTTCTAAGGCACAATGTGCAGCTTTGGACAAAAGATCTTTATTAGCATCATTTTCTCTTTTCAGGATGACAGTTCCCTACATCTTACTTTCTCTACATGTCATCTGTCCTCCTATTAATATGAGTTCCTCTTGGAGCTGGCCCTCTGGTGTAGTGATTAAGTTTGCACACTCCGTTTTGGCAGCCTGGGGTTCGTGGGTTCGGATTCTGGGCCTGGACCTAAACATCACTCCTCAAGCCATGCTGTGGTGGCATCCCACATACAAAATAGAGGAAGACGGGCACAGGTGTTAGCTCAGGGACAATCTTCCTCAAGCAAAAAGAGGAAAATTGGCAACAGATGTTAGCTCAGGGCCAATCTTCCTCACCAAAAAAAAGAAAAGAAAAGAAAAGAATTAGTCCCTCTTCTAGATCAGAGAATCAATAGCTAATGAATAGTAACTGAATTGGGCACTCTAGGAAATAATAATGTGATTGAAAGCATGCCAAAGGGTTAATTACTAAGATGGGAAGAGCTTTCAAATGAAAATCATTCAAATGTTTAGGATCCTTATTCCATAACTACTTCATTGTTCTGTTTGACAGTCAGGGATTAAATACACTAACCATTTAACATTCCAGACATTGCCAGCACAAGAAAGTTTTCAAACCAACGTAAAAATCTCTCTGGAGCTAGAAGAAATCAGTAAGTCTTGTTTGCAACAGATAACGGAAAACTGAACCAAAGCAACTCAAGTGAGTAGGAGCAGTTCTTTTCTGTTGTCAGCCACCTTCACTGCTGTGAGGAAGGAGCTAGCAGTGAGATATTACTTGCCCTCCTTCTCTTTCAATTCTGGTTTCTCATCAGAAACTGAAAAAAAAAAAAAAAAATGACACAGATTTAAACACAAAGAGATCTACAGGGACTGGGCTAGCCAAAAGTGACAAATCAAAGGCACTCAAAGTATGATCCCCCATAGCACGTATGTATGTGTGTGTGTGTGTGTGTGCGTGTCCCCTATGGCTATAGGGCCCTATCTTCCTTGGTGTGCTAATATCATCCAATATTCATGAGACAATATTATGAGCAAGTCTATACTTCCTGGTTTAAAGGATCAGGTGCTCAGGGGAGCAGCACATTTTACATTTTTGGATTGTTGCATTGGTGTTATTTCTAGAAAACTGTGTGCATATTCAACTATTTGGAACTGTCTGAAAGAAATATACTTTCTAATTCATTTTGTTTTAGTTTTGAAAGTTTTGAGTGGAAATCAAAATCCACTGTCCAAAATACATTCAGAATTTGAAAAATGTGAAACCTGGAGTAGAACAGCGAAAGCACAAATACCTCTGGCCATGAAGCACAGATACCAGCACGAAACCTCATCTCATCCTTCATCACACCTGCTTCAGAGTTGAATTTCTGGAACCATTTCTTACTTAGTTCAGCATCAAAGAATTGTGACAAGGAGAAAAAAGAAAGATGGGTCTGAAGAGCATGTTGTGACTTTTACATGATGTGATGTAGGCAGCACTCCATAAAAGCTTGTATTTTTAAGAACTTTTGCATTAACTCGTTTGTAGAATGCAAAGATTTAATCCAAACTTTCCAGGCAGAAATTGGGGCATTTTGACTGTGACAAGACAGGAAACCCAAAGACAACTAAACGATCTGAATACTCAAAATTTTCCAGAAAAGCTGAAAAGGTCAGAAAATGAGTTAAATCAAAGGTCCAACATGTGGACAAACTGAGGTAAATGGGAACAAAATGGGGAAAAAAAAGAGAGAAATAAAAATAATTTAAAATCTCCATCATCATAAAGATTAAAAAGTCAAGGAGACCTCAATTGTATATTCTGCAGGGAATAATGTTAGCTAATTAATTGAACAAATACTTTGTTGAGTACCTACTATATGCAGACAGATGCCTGGGAACAGAGCAGTGAACAGCTGGAAGACTTTGCTCTCAGAGTTTATACATAAGTGAGGTGTATTAGTCACGGTTTTCCAGAGAAACAGGACTGATCGTTTGGGTGTGTGTGTGTTTAGAAGGTGGGCACAGGGTTTGGAGTTTTTTTTTCATTCTCTAAAAAGCCATATGTGGTTGCACTTCTCAACTACTGAACAACTAAATTTTCTCTCCATGGAGCTGAACTAGGAGAAACAGTAAAAGTGCGGGTAAAGATGACACAGAAAAATGAGAAATAAAGTTCATAAGATCACAGAAGACGAAGTGACCTCTTAAAGTCAGGCAATTTAACACCTAATTTTCAGGTAGTTGAAATCCAAATTCTCTAAATCTGATCTCATAGAAGAAGCTATGCCCCAAACCGGTGTGGTGACTGGCCCAAGGCTTACAGCTAACTCAGGACCGTTACGGGCTGAATTGTGTCTCGCCACCTCCAAATTCCTATGCTGAAGTCCTAACCCGGAGAGTCCGGGAATGTCACCAAATTTGGAGCTAGAGGTTTAAAGAGGTAATTAAGTTAAAGTGAAGTCTGTAGGGAGTGTCGTAATCCAACATGACTGCGCTTCCTATAACAAGAGGAAATGTAGACACAGACACAAAGGGAAAAGGATGTGAAGATACAAGGAGAAGGCCATCCACAAGTCAAGGAGAGAGGCCTGGGACAGATCCTTCTCTCATGGCCCTGGGAAGAAACTAACCTTGAAGACATCTTGATCTTAGACTTCTAGCCTTCAGAAGTGTGAGAAAATAAATTTTGGTTGTTGAAGTCGCCCAGTCTGTGGCACTTTGTTACCGCAGCCACAGGAAACGAATAAAAGGACCAGACTACAGCCCCTTGATTCCCTCGGATTCCGCCTTTGAGGCATGTCAGTGATGCCCGTATACTTGGGATCCCTCATAATGAACATGAAGATTGTCCATCTTGAACGATCACTGAGCTACAAGAGATTTCAAATGGTCTTGAGAGCTGGAATTACAGGTTCCCATCGGCCCCTGAACTGCTTCTTCTCAGTCTCACAGGCTCCACTAGGGAGGGTTAAAATCTCCCTGTCCTCTGCAGCCGAGGACACAAACTGAACAAGAGCTGAAACTCAGCTGACTAATTCTGCTCACTTGCTTTTCAGACTTTTAGTTACTCATCAACACTTGAGAAAAAAGAAATTCTAAAAAGACCATTAGCAGCTCACCATTTCCAGTTATATAATGCATCTTTAATATATGTATGTAAAAATGAGGAAATAGGTAATGTATTGTAAAATGTAATGTAATATGTAAAAAGTGAGGAAATAGGTAATGTATTGTAAAATGTAATGTAATATGTAAAAAATGAGGAAATAGTAATGACATTTCGTAGTAGGTACATTATTAAAAAACTGAAAAATAAATAAAATAAATTTTTCTATATGAAAGAGATAAGCGAAGATTCCATTCATTCTTATTTTTTCAAAATGTATAAATAAAAATACACAAGGTAATCTTATCCTGGTAATGTGTTTTTTCTTTGTTAAGGACAGTTACTGGGAAGATCAGGAGAGAGAGAGTTGAGACAGCAGGAGTAAGTGACTGGTTAGACCCCTGACTGATCAGGCAATGAATCAAATAAAATGAGGGAACTTTAGAAAATTCCATCTGGGATTACATTTTGAGTCGAGTGCTACAGTTAGAAAAATAGTTCTCAAAATCCCGACTAACATCAGAATCACGTAGAGATGCATTAAAAAGTAATAATACTTAGGTCTCAACACAGACCCAAAGAATCAGAATCTCTGAGAATGGGGCCCCCCTTATGATTTCCTTCAACAAGTACCCCTGTTATTGATGCTCACCATAGCTGGAGAACAACTGGGCTGGAGAAAGCAAAACCTGAGGTCAGCAGGCTACCATATTTACACATGTGAGAAGATAAGAGTCTTATTGACTAACAGCATCTTGTTCTGCACTTGCAAATCAGATTTTTACTTTTCATGGGGAAATAATGACCCTTCTAAAAAATAAGTCTGAAAATAAGAGAAGTCATCTTCAGTGGAGGAAACAAATAATGGGAGGGCTACAAAATTCTCAACTAGAGCCCTAGGGGCCGTAAATGCCCAGAGGGGCCACAGAGGTAACACAGGAGTAAAATATCCAGGTGGAATAGACAACAAAGAGTAGGAAGGACTTGTCAAAATGGAAAGGCCCACTTGGACCGAAGGGGCAGCCGCTGATCCAGGGGAGTGGGGGCCATGCAGTATGTGGGGCCCAGATCTTTCATTTTTCAAGAGAAACCAAAATTCTCCAACATTCCAATGGTGGCAACTAATATTAAAAATACATACATACACATATACACACATACATACATACGCTATGTGTCAATACCACACAGGATAAGGATAATACAGACGGAGGCAGTGTAGGCCCTGATTTTTGAAATCAGGCCTAAATGCATACAGACCCTCGTGTGAAAAAACAGTCTACTGGGATCAAGAAAGCTTTGTGAAAATGACTAAAAGCCAAAGCTCAGCCCTCAGCAAGGGGAAGAGCCTTAACGTACTTGCTCTCAGTTCATTCTCTTTCTCTCTCTTTTTCCAAGATCTTTGCCCTCAGAAATCAAAAGTATTTATGTTTCTCACATCTTATATTTTCATGGTGTTCCAGAACACAGAGGTGAATAAATCTAGAATGCTGCATGACTTGACTAAAGGACAGCTTGTCATTAATGACTCCAATGCCAAGTTTATTCTCATTTTGCAAGTTTATCCCAGTTCACAGCTTAACAAAACCCACAGTAGGCTTGCTTACCTGCTGGGCTGAGTATATCTGCCGAGTGAATTTGTATCAGATGTGGCCTTGCTCAAAATGCATAATTCCACAATAAATTCACTATCATCCCCAGTTAGTGGAACTCAGGCCAGGTGTCCAACATAGCTATGACAGTTGTTTCAAAACGCCCATAGGTGGGAGTGGGTTGGTTGCATCAAAGTTCATTTCGAATCAGAAAGGGAGCTGAGATCAAAGGGGAGAACTAGCTCATTTCCTTCTGGGGAAGGTGAAGTTAGCAATCTTACAATGATCAACCTCTTTCTAATTTGGGCTTTACTACTCATACTCTCACTTCCAAGAAAATAAAGGCAGGCAAATTATTTGTTCCTGTTTAACACAGAAAATACTTAATTGGTGTTAGGAGACCAACTATTTAAAGAGCTGAAGACACTTTATTTTTCTTTTTAAAGCAAGAGTCTTCCAGAAAAATGAAAAGGACTTATCAGGTAGTTAATTGTTATTTTCCCGCTTCTGTGAATAGATACACACATATAACAAAAAGAATACAATACTATACACTAAGGTACCTACGATAGTTCTACAAATAATCTTTTGGTAATAAGATAGATAGATCCCAGTACATTTAGAAATGTTTTCTTTATAATAATAAATTATAAAAAAAGTAATAAATAAAATAATAAATAAAAAGAATTATAGTAATCCAGGGTCATTTAATAAAAGCCCTCTATAATGCACCTAATAAAAATTACAACATGAAGATTATGTAGAAAAAGATTTGTGTATGTAAAAAAGTGACAAAAAGCAGACTATAAATAGCACTGAATAAACATGCAATTATGTGTATGTGTAGACAAGGCTAGGAAGCTAAAAGTAAAATAAAAAACGCTTGTATTGGATGTTAAAATAATGAGTGACTTTATCTTTTCAAGAATTACTTTTTGTTTCACATCATAGAGTCAATTTCTTGATAGCTACCAATTTAAAAAGAAAGAGATGGATTCAGTGTCCTAAATTTGGTGTTCACTTGTTTTTGTCTGATGGATCAAGATTTAAATTATGCCCTTTTGTCATTTTTCCTCATCAGCAGATAGTCTTTAGTACCTATTACAAAACATGTGCTCAACAAGGGACTTTTGGGACCCAAGATAATTTACCCAAAGGCACTTAATTCACTAGGGGTTTTCAAGTGGGGGATTTCCTTACTCAGGTTTTTGACCCTCTTAGGAAACCGTTATTCTCTCCAACTGGCAGTGCGCTATAGTGACCCAGCTTCCCTAAACAATTACAGCAGCCTTCAGAGAGATTCCTTTGAAATACTGACACTTCCTCTATCAGAACTATTTAGAAGTAAATTACTTGCCTAGTGTCCCAAAGAGACTTACTCAGAGACGACAAGCAAATCCTGAGTCTTCTTTGCCTCTAAGTATTTCACCTTCCTGTCCTCTAACCTCAGTGCAAGAAATAAAATTTCTTTTCTAAATTAAACTCTAATTTGCCACTAAGGATAGTAATTGTATTTCAGAGATAAACAATATAAGATTTCTCCTTCATCTAACGGTAGACAGCAGTGGGGGCCCTGATGGTCTCCATATATCAATTTATTTTTGCCTCCCAATCTTGTCATCATTTATAAATTTGTGTTTTTCCATCCTGGTTGTTAATGTATAAATTACATTTCATAATTTTTTTCATAAAAAGTTTTAAGTCCTTTGTGATATAAGTAACACCCATTAAAAACAAAAGTAAATAGAAATACATTAGGTTGATTTAAGGAAAATTATTAAATTACAAATTAAACAACTGTTCTTTATTTTCTTGCCAAAATTCTTCTGTATGATTACACATAAATACGCTGGTTTCTTTTTCAAATGCCCTTTCCTTTCCCTCAACCATAATTTTGCTCTAAGACAACTGCTCTAAGAAATGCAGGAGAAGGACCTGGCCCCGTGGCCAAGTGGTTAAGTTCTCGCAGTCCATTTTGGTGGCCCAGGGTTTCGCCAGTTTGGATCCCGGCCGTGGACGTGGCACCGCTCATCAGGCCATGCTGAGGCGGCGCCCCACATGCCACAACTAGAAGGACCCACAACTAAGATATACAACTATGTACCAGGGGGCTTTGGGGAGAAAAAGGAAAAATAAAATCTTTAAAAAAAAAAAAAAAAAGAAATGCAGGAGAAGTAGCTGGCTATCAAGCAATTGTCCTAAATTACACAGATCTAAGTAATGCAAGACAAAACCTATGGCCATGTGCTATTTAAAAAAAAAAAAAAAACCAGAATAATCAGTGCCCACAGCTATTTCTCACACAAATTTCTAAAGCAAGTTTCACTCTTCTTCTGTTCCTCTTGGATATCTGCGAATTGTTTTGGGATTTCAAATTTATTTATTGTAAGTGCCATGGAAACAACACCCAGAAACTAGGGGAGAGAAAAACTAACTCCAAGAGGGTGGAAAGAAGAGAAGAGAAGCAAAGACATAAAGAATGGGGAATCTCTGCCGACTATAGATAGCAATAGAGACAACAGGACTAGTGGAAGAAAGAAAAGAGAATATAATGCAGATCCCTCCCATCTACTTGCAACCCACTGACGTGATTTAACAAAATCTGCTTCTGTGTTCCACGTAATCAGCATTCCCGTCCCCATTTTATTCATTATTGCTCCTACGAAGTAAGCACCACTACGTGCAAAAGCATAAAATCAAGCATTTTCTGGAGACACACAAGGTGACACAACACTGCAGAAACTTCTTTAAGAACAGAGATGTGATGTTGGGCAAGCGGTGAGTGCAAGGCAGGACTGTGTAACTAAATTTAAAAGAGTCACGTTAGAAAGGAAAAACATATACGACATAATGTGAACAACGGTTATCTAGGGGATAGAGTTATGCCAGATTTTCTTCTTTTTACTCATCTGCATTTATAAATTTTATTTAATGAACTTTAATTTCCTAGGCCATATAATATACATAAATATGATAGACAAATTATGTTTAATTTATATTAGAGATAGCATCATAATAAGTGTATATAAATAAATGCATGTATATATACACACGCGTGTGTATGGGTGTGAATGCATTCTTTCAGAAGAGCAAAGTTTTCTTGGTGCTTTAAATATGCACCTCTGGTAAAGATGTTATAATATAAAAGTCAAATAAGCATAGCTCCAGGCTTTGATAACTTTGCTATACTTACTAGTATTGCTGTCCCAAGATCTAAGAGATATTTTCAAAGCAACCACCACTGCGATAATGCAGTGGTTAATGATAAGGAAGAGGAGAGTGTGGTCTGAGGTTGTATAAATAGTTTCTTAATTTTGAATATTACATTTTCTCTAAGGAAGTTTCTAAAAAAGCCCAAATATTGCACATTATTTCTGAAAGGATCAAGGAGAGTTTTTTTCCCAATCACAAGATGGTTGCAGACATCACTGCCTTTTCCCTTTCAACTCTTAGCGTGATCTGAAAGTAGGTGCAATCAACAAACTGCCTGGGCTTTGGGATCGGACCTAAGGTAAATCCCAGCTCTGCCACTTGCTAGCTGTGTGAGCTCAGTTAAATTACTTCAGCTTCCTGAACCCCATTTCGCCATTTGTAAAATGGAGACGAGGGCGCCTTCCTCGCTACACAGCTGCTGTTGAGAAATGACTGAGATCACATTTGTAAACAAACACTCCTGTCATAGTGCCTGGAACTTCAGTGGGGCCCAACAAAATAAGAATCCATTGCCTTTCAGAGGCTTTGGAACTCAAATGAACCTCTTTGAGGCCAGGTCTCTTCCATTAGCCATCATCCAGCTGACATTTCTGAGACAAGAACTCTCCTAGTCTAACGAGGTGGCTGCAGCTCCGGGGCGGGGGGTTACGCCAAGAACATGCGGCCGGATGCGCAGCGGGAGCAGGTACCACCGCTGAGCAGCGAGGCCAGGGTTCCCTTCCGCCCCAGAGTTCAGAAACTACCGTAGGAGTGCAAGCTAAGAAAGATTACAACAGGAAAAATCCAGGGCAGGAAATAAAAAAAGAAGAAAACCCCCACCTGAGACAGTCACTTACTGTCTTAAGGAATTCCCGGAAGGGAAACAAAACAGTTTCTTTTTCTGTGTAGCGATAAGAAGGCAAACAAGCCTCTAGAGGCACATCTAGTCCCAAGATAACTTTTTCAAGAAAGAAACGGCGCGGTCTGAAGCCTCAGGGTTAACTGCCGCCGCGGGGCTGATTTATTCCCTAAATTTGAGAACTGTGGGAAAACGTGCCAAATTCAGACTGCAGGTTCTCGCAGCGCTCGGGCGCGCGCACAGCCACGCGCAGAAGCGGAGTCCGGGCTTGACATGTAAGTACTTGTCCGGAAGATCCCCTCCCTCGCCGGCCGGGCTCTCCCTCCAGCGACCCTTAAACCCCCAAGGCCAGTGCTCGCCCCCCGCGCCCGCCTCTCCCTGCGGCGCGCACAGCCGTCCCCAGGGAGCGCCAGGAGCTACTCCACCTGCCGCGCGGGCTCGGCGCTGCACGTCGAGCCCCGAGGAAAACGAGCTCCCCGGCTCCCTAACCCTGCCTGGAGCCCCTGGCAGCCACTCCGGCAAAGGCTGGCCGCCCCGGCCCCCTGGACCCCCAGCCCCCCGGCCCCCTGGCCCCCGGGCCCCCCGGCGCGCATCCCCCGCGGCCGCCCCGGGGCGCGCCCGGCGCCCTTCCCGCAGCGCCTGCCCCGGGGCCGAGCCGGGAGAAACCCCCTCCAGGGGAGCAGAGGACTCACCAGAAGCAGGAGAAGCCACATCCTAGACATGGCTGAGGAGCAATCCGGCGAGGTTAAAGAGCCTCCACTCCCAGCGGAGCCGGCCCCGACCCGGGGAGGAGTGACAGCCCCGCCTGGCCCCTCCCCGATCTGCGGCCCGCCTGGGAGCGGGTTCCCCGCCCGGGCCCGCCAAGGGCGGTCACAAAAAATTACTCTCAAGCCTCTTTCTTCCCTCTCTAAGAGCGTCTTGGAACACCTTTGCCTAGCAGTTTCGAGGCGACCTGACAATATGCCCTGGAGGCCAGGGGAGGGAGAGGAAGTTTTGCTGGGGAACGCCCGCCTTCAAATCAGCCACTCGGCCTGCGCGGGCGGGGGCGGGTAGACTTGCGGGAGAGGCAGCGTTTGCTGCGCAAACGAGCATTCCCCAGGCCGGGGCGTGTCCGCGGCGGTGGCATGCCCGGTTCAGGCGAGGACGCTGAGAGCGGGCCTCTGTCCTTCCCAAGCGCTTCTGTAATTCAAACTGGGAAGGCTGGGAAGTCTACGTGTCCTGCCTGAGTGCAGAACAATTTCTGGGAACAATCAGAGGAAGAGCTGGCCTTCCCTCAGCTCCCCAGATTGCGGCTGCGATATGAGAGGCTCACGGGAGCCCCTGACTAATGTATGAAGTGACAATTATCAAACGAAAAGTTTCCAATATTGTGCTATAGGGATTTGGAAGAGGGAAGACCCCATAGCTTTTATTTCTCAAGAAGAGAACAAAGCTAACCTCTCATGACAGATCACAGCTCCAGCTGTAGTATATGCTCACAATTACTTCCCCTCCTGTGACTCATTATTTCCTGGCCAATTGTCTTAAAAAAAAAAAAAAACAATTCTTTACTGCTCTTTTTCACACTGCTTATGCTTAAAGTCACTATTGTTTTGGAAAAGTAGATATTTATTTAGATTTGCAACAATGTTACAAGAGCGAAGTTTGTATAATGACATCATTAATGATCCTGAAAGCAGTTCCTAGGGTGGGCGCCAGTGAAGTCGTTGATATTTCTTCGGAGGAGGTGGATGCTTCCTCCGCTAAGCTCTGCACCTCACTCTGTTGCCCCTCTTCCTTCCTCGCTCGCTTCATCCCATTAGGAAGGCTCACTGCTCCTCCCTTCACCCGGCACACTGCTCATCCATCAGGCTCCCTCTTTGTTGACATTTTCTTCTGGAAGCCCCCAAGTCAGGGTTAGGTCACCCTCCTAAGTGCGTGCTTTCACTCACCTTGTGTTTTGTACTGCACCATCGCCCTGTCTTGTGGGTGCTGATTTGCTTGTCTCTGCTTCACCTTCCAGCAGATTGTTAGAGAGCGTTGTGGAGAAGCCCCTAGCTGTGCCAGTCCTGTTCCCACCGTTCCTGGCACACAATAGAAAAAAAAGAAGTGAATAGGGGCAGGGGGGATGGTGTATGGGGGTTCTGTGTATTATCTTTGCAACTTTTCTGTAAATCTAAAATAAAAAGTTCATTGAAATAAAAAAATAGCATAAAAAAGGGAAGGAATGCAGGAAGGGAAGAAGGGGAGGGGAGAGAGAGGATAATTGATAAAATCAGCATCTCTTGAGTGTGAATTATGAGCTAGCAACTTTCACAAATGGTTCTTCCTTACTTAATATTTATCATTTTAGCCCAGTGAGGTGGGAGATTATTGAATTTACTTTACAAATAAAGAATTGTAGCCAAAAAAGTTTAAGCAGTATTGACAAAGTTGGGTAGTTATTAAGTAGCAGATGCAGGAATTAAATCTAGATATTCTTGCTCCTGAGCCCTTGTTCTTTCTAACCTCCCCTCGCCCCCCAAACACCTAATTACCCTCAAGTTCAATGACATAGTAATAGGTGCTTTGTGGGGAGAAGTGTTTCATGGTCAAACGACTTTAGAAAATTCTGAGTTAATTTAATCAGATCTCTTAATCTGGGACTTCTTAGAGGCTTTAATATGCTAATATGCATTGTGAATATCTAAGAGGGGGCTGTGATATATACTGTTCCCCAAATTTCTTTGTCTTCTTTATGGAGTCCTTTGAACAACAACTATTTAATGAACACCTTATGAATGCTAGTGTTCTGGGGAAAACAGTTCAAACATCTCTAACGGTTATTTTTATTTTAACAACACATTCTTAAGAGTCTCTAACCTTCAAGGGCAAAGAAATACAATTTTTTTTTTTTTGAGGAAGATTAGCCCTGAGCTAACATCTGCTGCCAATCCTCCTCTTTTTGCTGAGGAAGACTGGCCTTGGGTTAATATCTGTGCCCATCTTCCTCTACTTTATATGTGGGATGCCTACCACAGCATGGCTTGCCAAGAAGTGCCATGTCTGCACCTGGGATCCGAACGGGCGAACCCCGGGCCACTGAAATGGAACATGCACACTTAACCGGTGCGCCACCAGGCCAGCCCCAAAATACAATTTTAATAACAGAATTTCAGGCAGTCTACCAGATGGGGGAGGTATTTTGGACAACCACGCTGATTTTACTCAAACCATACCATATAAGTTAAAGCTTGTTACTTCTGCTTTAAAGATGTCCTTGCCTCTGAACATCTCATTCTGTATAACATTTAACCCTCCATCTGACTATGTAAAAAGCTGAGAGGAAAAAAACCTTCAATACATTTTTACCATCAAGACTACTTTTATTCCGTCTCCCCATGGACCTAATGTTTTAAAAATTCTTGTCAACCAAATTACTCTTGTTAAGTAGCAATAAATTGATTTTAATGTTTCCCAACCATACTGAGCATCCATAATTGTTTATCCTCCATTTTTTCTTCTTCTTGCGTGTAATAGCACTTCCAAGTTGCTTTTGGAAAAATTGCTCCTTTTCCCTCTTCTTAACTATTTGATGTGGGTGGCTATTAATACAGGTTCTCTAGAAAAACAGAACCAATAGAATATATGTAGATGTAGCTATATCTATCTATTATCTATCTATCTATCTATCTATCTAATCTATATCTAGAGAGAGAGATTTTAAGGAGTTAGTTTATCTGATTATGGAGGCTGGCAAATCCAAAATCTGCAGTGTAGGCTGGCAGGCTGGAGACCCAAGGAAGAATTGCAATTCAAGTCCAAAGGCAGTCTGCTGGCAGAATTCCTTTTCTCTCAGGAGAGGTCAATCTTATTCTTAAGGCCTTCAACTGATTTGATAAGACCCACCCACATTATAAAGGGCAACTGCTTTACTCACACTCTACTGATTTAAATGTTGATCCCATCCAAAAAATATCTTCACACAAACATCTAGAATAATGCCAAATATTTGGGTACTATGGTTTAGCCAAGTTGACATAAAATTAACCATCACAGTGGCATTGACACCAATCTCAGGGCCTATGTGTGTATGTATGTGGGAGGAGGAGGGAGATGAGGAACTCCACTTATTTAAGCCAATCAGCACATTACATTTAACTGAAGTACCTTGCAACCTTTACTGGAAACAGTGGGACACAAACTCGTTTTCTTCTCCAACTGGATTCGAAGTGGGAATATGTGAGGTATGGACTGATGTGGTCATAAAGAGAGCTTGTGGGCCTGCAAGACCCAAAGGCAGAATCAACCCAAGCTAGAGGAAATCATGCAGAGAGGCAGAGCCTGGTAGTGTCACTTGAGTCCTGGATTGATTTAGTCCTGAAATCTATTCCTGGACTACCCACAGTCGTCCAAATCAATAAATTCTCAGTGTTTGCTTAAGGCAGATTCTTACAGTTAAAAGAGTCTTAACTAATATATGATCAGAGCTTATGATCAGCGTGAGAAATCCTCTGTTATCAAAATTAGTTGTTACAAATTAACTATTAAAGTTTCAGCCTCAAGTAAGGATAATCACTTAAACAAGCCTGTAGAGATGGCCCAAGACATAGACACATGACACCAAAGAATTTTTCTATCACTAGAGGGCACCAAATACCACATCAGCTAAGTGACAACACTGAATACGTCAATTAGAACAATATTTTGGGTTCTTGGGAAAGGGAAGAAAGAGGAGGGAGGGCTTTGATTTGGATAGATAATCTGTGAGCCTGATCAGATAGACATTTTTATCTCCCCGAGAACACGTTATTTCTTACAGGGTTAAAGAAATGAGGTATGCAAAGCAACCAGCACACTCAATAAATACTAGTTACTACTTGTGCATCACTGTCCCGGAATAAGGTGCCTTCACAGGACAGGTTGCTAATTTGAGGTCCCAGGTCAGGTGGAAAGAAAGCCAAGTTTAGTACCTTACAAATCCTTTCCTGTACTACTTCCCGTATGAATGTGTTCACGTGCCTGAAGTTCTAGCCTAAGGAAAATTGCTTGGAGCCTGGCTGAAGAAGGCCAGGAAGCTTGGCCGTGGAGATGTGGAACAAGTTATTCAATCTCTCAGTTTCTCCCAGTGTGAAAACTGGTATACTAACCTACTCTTGAGCAAGAACTTGGAGAAGACAATGAACTAAAGTGCATGTAGACTGTAGCAGCTAGGAGGCAGAGACATTCTGGGCAGCAAGTGGCTGTAAAAAACAGCTCTTCTGTAGGCCCTGGTTTCATAATCCGACTGGGCGCTCCTCCTCTGAGAGCCCTGAAA